AGCCCTTCGGAATAGGAGGTGCCCACTGACCTGCCTTCAAAATACGGCAAAGCTACTGCGGCAGAAGGATTTCACCCATAGCAAGTTAAATTACGCATGGTCTACCGACTTCAGTGCAGGCGCGGCATACGCAACCTCGTTGAAGAAATCAGCCGGCAACCAAAAAATGCGAATGAATGAACATGAGCTGGCTGTAAGAAATATGAAAACAAAGCTGGAGGTATCAACGCACGTTACAGACAGGCATCATGTGATGCCGTCGAAAATGTGTACTGACCATATGATCACACAACAAGACAATCTAAGAAATCTTTATATCGACCGACTCTTCGTCAAACCGCCACATAAAATTGCCTACCCCTAGGTTGTACTAAAGAAATGCTTATTAGGGGACAGTTACGGCGCAGAAGATGTGGGGCCGCCAACTAGCTCCACGGACAGCAGGCATGTCCGTTAAGCGATCAATATGGGGGCATGTGCGACACACAGGGAGCCGAACCAAATACTGACGATTAAGTTGCGGACGCAGTCAGCGACAAAGGTGACAGTGGTACACAATGTACCCAACTAAGTGTGTAGGCTGCCTAAGTAGTAAAAAGAGGGGCATGTATCTAGGACCAAAAGCCAGAGTATTCACTCTCATAGAATGGGTAGTGGAGGCAAGTATCCGAAACTTCAGATCTCAAATAAACCTCTCCAACTGAGCGTTCTTTTGCTCTTTCTGACCTTACTGTATACATCATTTTCTCACCAGACAACTTTGTCAAATATTCCTCAGATATACCACGCGGAGGTGAGCTTCTCCCGTTGGCCCATAGACACTTCACAGAAACGAGGCAAATAATCTCCGAAACGCAGCGGTGTACTTTCAGAAAAATGTGATTTTAAGTGTCAAGTGATTTACCTTTGTTGTCCGTTGTAACATGTTGCGCTGGTGCCGCCTCGCTGCATGTCGTCCCAACGCAGGCCTTAGCGGTAATCGTGTAATCCTTTGAGGGTTGCAGTTGCTCAATTGTACAGACAGCGTCTTGATTACTGGATTTAACTGAGCAACCATATGCGCCTCCGCTTTCGTCCGTTGTCTCAGCGCTGTACACGAGACCCATAGCATCGCCACCAGGCATTGGTTCAAATTTAACCTGGATCCAAGTGCCACCAACAGTGGGAATGCTTATTGTTGGCGCTGTTTTAAATAGAAATGCAGTTGGCACAATTAATTTTAGTTAACCTCTTACTTTTTTGAAAATAATGAACCGATCTTAATATGGGATAAACCAATATTTAAATGGACCCCTAGACAGTTAAGGAAATAGTGAGGGCATTCTTTAGACGCAACGAACCCGCACTGTGTTGATCCTTCACCAGCGACGGTAATCTGTCTGTTAATTTGCTTTATTTAAGATTTTCATCCAAACTACATTAATTTTAAATATTACTATGAGGGTAATTTGAAATAATGCGTCTATTGTAAAATAATCTTGATTTTTACAAACGTTTCCCTTGCTAGGTATAGAGTTTATTCTACCGTCAATAATAAGGTATGTGCACGTCATGAGTGTAATTCTGTACATGTTACGGAACGTGCTTGAAAAAAATTATATCTAAACGGCCTTATGTTAGGTTGTGTTTGTTGAATAACTGGTTCTGTTTAAGTACTCTATTGGACGCCGTTTTAAACCTTAGCAGTTCCTGAACTCTCATCAATGAATAAACCCCATAAAGTTGTAGCTGAGGTTAATCATTTTGTCCTTAAAATTGCAGGTTGTTTTAGAGACGGATGTTGTGAAAACTGTGACTATATAAGTCAACGTGATATTTTCGCCCGCATGCGCGGGTACGACTAAAACATTCGTTCACGTTTGGTCTTCTTCTTTCAGACTCGGCGACGGTGGTGTTGACAATTTAACTTAAATATATTTAATAAGCTCCGGGTGAGCCGACACTGATACAAGTGGAATTATAATTCATATGAATTGAAGAGACAGGAGAAAAATAACATGAAAAAAAAAACGATAGCAAGTAGATACTTACAAAATAAAAGACTTACGATTTGGAGCTGTTAAC